GAAATTTTCGAAATTCTTGTTCGAATTTTTCATTTATTTTTCGAATTTTCTTCATAGAGTCTTAAAAAAAAAAGAGAGATGAACTTCTTGCCTTTGGACGAGATGGATCTCGAGGATCTTGAATATCTCGAAGGTTTGGAGAGGAGTTTGACTCCATGGGAGCAAGAGTTTTTGGAGGAGCTTCACGAGCGAAAGAATTTTGAGGAGAGGCAACAAGCGGAGGCCAAAGAGAAGCTCCGAGAATCATGCGAGGAGACGTGCGTGGAGGACGAAGTGATCGAAGAGAAGTGCGAGGAGTCCATGTGTACGATCGATTTGCCGGGCTACGTTGAAGAGAAGAACGCCGAGTATGTGGTAGCCGGGATCGAGTAACTGGGGTTGAAGTGGATATCTCGGTCGTGGTTGAGGAGGTCCATAATGACGTAACGCACAAGGAGGACGGTGCATAAGAAGAGGAGGTCGATGGCGAGAGTAAGATCTTCGTCGAAGTTGTCGAGGACCGTGAGTGCGATACGCGCAAGGGTCGTGAGATTGGAGATGATGTGCCCGAGGTTTGGATGGTCGAGGATGAGTCCTTGAGGACAAGGACATTCTCAAAGAGGGCAGAAATGATGCGTAAGTGGGTTTTGACCCCCAACGACAAGAAAGGCCAAGAGTCGAGACGACCCGATGAGGCTGATAATGGGGCCAAAACGACGCATGCATGGCCTAAGAGACGAGTACGAGCTCGTATGCGGCGCACTCAAGCACATGAAAAGCGGCACGTACGATGCAGTAGGAAAAGGCGCGCACACGCGCATTGGCGTAGACGCGCATGGCGCTTGGAGAATAGGCGAAGTGGCGCGCAGGGGGAGGTTGTTGGGTGGATGGCGCGCGAGGGGGATTGCTATGGGCCAATGAACGGATGCACGAATACATGCGGGAGGGCAGGTACGAGCCAGCAGCGCGCATCGGGACTTGATGCGCGCGAGAGGACGAGCAAGCGTGAGGGTGCGTGCGAGGGATGGAGCGCCACGCGGATGGCATGGGGTGCACGGGTGTACGCGGTAGGCGATCCGAGCACGGGCATTGGCGGAGCGCACTGGGCGCCGCAAGGGAACGCGAGCGCGGAGGTGGCAGGTGCGGCACACGCGGGCGCAGGCCTATGCGCGGTAGGCGTAGGCGAAGGGGCTGGCACACACGCGCGAGGGCTAAGGCGGTGGCGCTGGGCGCGCACGGGCGCGCTGATGAAGGATCGGATGTTCGTGTCCTC